ACAGAGAGGAAGGGAGAGGAATAGTGAGTTAGAAACATTGATGAGAGAGAAACATCGACCAGCTGCCTCCTGCACACCTCCTACCTGGGGATTTCCTGCAACCAAGGTACATGCCCTTGACTGGAATCGAACCCGGGACCCTTCAGTCTACAGTCCGACGCTCTGTCCACCGAGCCAAACTGGTTTTGGCTAAAGTAATATATATGGTATTACATATGTGTCCTTTTCCCCACATTGACCACAAATGAGTGAGATCATGTGATATTTATCTTTGTCCAACTGGCTTATTTTGCTTAGCATAATGCTTTCCAGTTCCCTCCATGCTGTTTCAAATAGTAAGAGTTCCTCCTTTTTTACAGCAGGGTAGTATTCCATTGTGTACATGCACCACAGTTTTTTAATCCACTCATCTACTGATGAGTACTTAGACTATTTCCAAATCTTAGCTATGGTAAATTGTGCTGCTATGAACATATATCCTTTCTGATTGGTGTTTCTGATTTCTTTTTTTTAATATTTCATTATTGATTTCACAGAGAGGAAAGGAGATTGAGAGATAGAAACATCAATGATAAGAGAGAATCATTGATCGCTGCGTTCTTCACCCACCCTATTGGTAATCAAGCCCCCAACCTGGCATGTTGCCTTGACTGGCATTGAACCTGGGACCCTTAAATCTGCAGGCCGACGCTCTATCCACTGAGCCAAAATGGCTAAGGCTGTTTCTGATTTCTTGGGACATTTTCCTAGAAGTGGGATTACTGGGTCAAATCAGAGTTCCATTTTTAATTTTTGTGGAAAAACTATAGTATAATCCACAGTGTCTTTACCAATATGCATTCCCACCAGCGATGCACAAGGGTTCCTTTTCTCCACATCCTTGCCAGCACTTGTCGTTTGTTGATTAGTTGATGATAGGCATCCTGACAGGTGTGAGATGATATCTCATTGTGGTTTTGATTTGTGTCTCTCAGGTAAGTGGCTTTGAGCATGTTTTTTTATGTCTCTTGGCTTTCTATATATCCACCTTCGAAAAGTGTGTATTTAAGTCCTTTGCCCATTTTTTGATTGGATTGTTTATCTTCTTTTTGTTAAGATGTATGAATTTCCCTGTAAATTTAGGCGAGTAAACCCTTATAGGTTATAACATTGGTAAATATGTTCTCCAATTCATTGGGCTTTCTTGTTGTTTTGCTGATGGTTTCTTTTGCTGTGCAGAAGATTTTATCTTGACATAGTTTCATTTGTTCATTTTTTCCTTAGTTTCCATTACCCTAGAAGCTGTATCTGTAATACATTGCTAGGATATATGTCTGATATTTTGCTGCCTGTGGATTCCTCTTAAGATTTTTATGATTTCCTATCTTATGTTTACATAAGTCCTTTATCCATTTTGAGTTTATTTTTATGTGTAGTGTAAGTTGGTGGTCTAGTTTCATTTTTTTACATGTATCTTTCCAATTTTTCTAACACCATGTATTGAAGAGAATTCTTTTATTCCATTGTATGCTCTTGCCTCCTTTGTCAAATATTCATTGAGCATAGTGGTTTGGGTCAATTTCTGGGTTCTCTATTCTCTTCCATTGGTCTATATGTCTGTTCTTATGCCAGTACCAGGAAGTGTTGAGAACAGTGGATTTGTAATACAGCTTGATATCTGGTATTGAGATCCCTCCTACTTTGTTCTTTTTTCTAAGGATTGCTGCAGCTATTTGAGGGCTTTTTTTATTCCAGATGAAATTTTGGAGAGTTTGTTCTAGTTCTGTGAAATATGCTGTTGGTATTTTAAGGGGGCGGGGGTGCATTGAATCTATAGATTGCTTTGAGTAGTATGGACATTTTAATGTTGATTCTACCAATCCAAGAACATGGTATGTTCTTCCATCTGTTTATGTCTTCCTCTATCACTTTTT